CGAGCGCAGGTGCGCCGCTATCTAATGATGATAACGCCTTCCTTCCGTAAACACATATGGCGCGCTGTGATGATCACCGTGCACGAGCGTCAACGTTTTAACCTTTGTGGGGAATATAGGTATACATATATTTTTTTTCGCGTCTTGCGGACATCGCTGGCATGGTGTATCAAGTGCGCACGTGTGAATTTCCTGAATCTTTACACTGAACTCTGAAGTGAGCTTACAACGCAAAAGCAAGCCATCATGAGATAATAATGATGATGAGACTGTGCGTATTAGACAGACAGACAGACAGACAGACAGACAGACAGACAGACAGACAGACAGACAGACAGACAGACAGACAGACAGACAGACGGACGGACGGACGGACGGACGGACGGACGGACGGACGGACGGACAGACAGACAGACAGACAGACAGACGGGCGGATGGACAGACAGACGGACAGACAGACGGACGGACAGACAGACAGACAGACAGACAGACGGATAAATAGACGGATAGATAGATAGATAGATAGATAGATAGATAGATAGATAGATAGATAGATAGATAGATAGATAGATAGATAGATAGATAGATAGATAGATAGATAGATAGATAGATAGATAGATAGATAGATAGATAGATTAACCGGGTAAACGCATGCATGTGCGATAGAAGGTAATGTAAGCGAGGTGAGAATGGCTGATCCGTTTTTGAAACGTACCCGAAGGAGGGACTTTCCGAGTTTGTTCTCCGGCTTGCGCCGAACAACGCGACGTGCGCCAGTTTATACGTGCACCTCCTTGTTTTACGCTCGAAAATTTTGTCGACCGCGGCCGTTTTAGGAGTTTTCCGAAACCGCGCAGTGGTCGCTTTTCGTCGGGACGTCAGTCGCAGCATCGTCCTAACGCTCTCGCGCCAGGCCTCGCGTTTAGAAGCCGCGGACCCACGCTTGTTTCCGCGTGCCTTGCGTGCACGGTCGAGCGGTACGCCGGCGCTGTTTTCCCGCGGTCTTCATTGAAGCGAGGGGTACGGGTGGGGGAGCGCGGGGAGGCTTCTTGATTTGGCCGATGTACCACAGCCGTCCAGATCTAGCGCCGTGCCCGGTTCCTTGTCAGGGTTTCGATTGCCGCCGTGGTTGACAGCGTTTGGACGGTATTATAGACGCTCGAACCTACCGAACCGTCTGTAGACGGTCACGCTTGCCAAAACTTGGCTGCAGCTTTGATATTGAGCGTACCGCGAGATCCGACGCGTGGTTGTGTCGTTTGTGCAGCATCGTATACTGTAGCGACTCGAGCGAATTGAATAGTAGAGTTGCGGAGTGTTTAGCAGTGCATACGTACGAGAGGAGGAGGTATAAGAGACGAGACATCCCATCCTTTCTGTCCTCTCCTCTCGTATGCGCTACTAAGCACTCTCTCTCTCTCTCTCTCATGTTGTACCGATTCGCCCAATCTTACTGTCGCTTAGGTATGGTTGCATCATAAGCGCGACTATGCTTCAGTTGCAGAGGCACAATTTCGCGTCGAGTTCCAGACAAAGAACTTTCCGGTTATTTGTTTGCGAATAGAGTTCGCCGGAAACTCCATACACTTCACAGGGAGTGTTCCCTCGAATTGATAATTGTAATTAGTTGTTCGAGTTGGTAACGTTACCGACCATCGTAGAATTCGAGCAACCGGGAATATTGGTGACGGCGATACTCGCTGCTTTGTAACGGTATATGTTGACCAGTCATACCGGGAAAGAAACTATAAACATTGAAGAGTTTGGAAGCAAAGTCGAGGAATGTCCCTACGCAGGCGGCAATGTCGGACGCGAGTGCATATTCCCAACGTGTGTCGTCATATCCCCAACGTACGCCTCAAACGCCCGCCTTTTCTGGTTAAAAAAAAAGAGCGAGAGAGAGAGAGAAGAGAAACAGAAATTGTCGCACGCTAGCCGTGCGCGAAGGGCCAGCGTGGTCCCACGCTTCTTGTTGTCCTTTTTTTTTTTATCGCTGGACGTGCAATCTGCGCGTGCGTATTCCGCTAAGCATGCAGGCAGGCAAGGTGCGTGGGCAAGCAAGCAAGACATTGCCGTCTCTCTCCACACACACACACACACTTCCATTGCCATCAGCTCCTTCTCTCATCCCGCATGCCTCGAACGACGACGACTACCGCCACCTGTTCTAAATGGTGTGCACTTCGGTGTGTACGTCCACTAGCCACAACTCGCCTGCTTGTCCACTGAGCCACGTCCTTTCCCGTGTGTGTCCGGTCGAGCGTTGCGCGCGTGTAGAACGGCTTTGCTCGAGGAAGAACCAGCTAGCGACCCATTCTCGCGTTCCGTCCTCGTCCACTCTAAAGGAACCTGCTACTTACTGTGCTAAGTTTTTGCTTGTTGTGCTTTGTGCTCGTTCTTTATTTTTATTGTTGTTGTATGTCTCTCATGGGGGCGTCCAGGCCTTTAGGCGTCGTGTTTTCTTTCTTGTTACCACTTCTGCCTGTTGTTGTAATTACACGACAGTCTTTCTTGGGATGCGCAAGCGCGGAAATTTTGGTCTGTCCATCCGTCCGTCCGTCCGTACGTCTGTCTGTCTGTCTGTCTGTCTGTCTGTCTGTCTGTCTGTCTGTCCGTCCGTCTGTGGCCGTAGTGGGTGATGATGATGATGATGATGATAATAATAATAATAATAATGATGATGATGATGATGGTAGTGGTGCTAATTTATCCTGCATCCAGGATTGCACATATTTTTGCTCGCGACTTCACACATACAAAACGCAACAGCCTATACGGTGCAAGGATTACTCACTGCGGCTGAGTCTGCTGTAGATGGAAACGACGAACAGCTCATTGTGCGTGGCTCGTAATGGTGTCCGAAATACACAATAGTGGCCCGGTTTTTATGAAGTAACTTTTGGAAGGTTTGCGTTGTCATGGTCACCGTGCCCTCTTTGAGGACTCTGACCGACCATCGGCCCAGAGTAGACATTTGGTGCCCAACGTGGGGCCGGCCTGCTCCCATCTTTGGTGCCAAGTTTCAACGTTGAGCGCTGTACCGAGCTAGCTGTGGCACATACACTCGCAAAAAACTAAACGCATAAAGATTGGCGAGACGAAAATGTCTGTCTGTAACGGAAACAAGAGGAGAGGAGGGGATGCATTCGGTTGACCATAACAAGCATGTCGCCCTGTTCTAGATGCTTCCGCGGAGATAAGACTTTTTCTTTAACTCGGAAGCACAGACGTCTTCGGGGGCATGCATTTCTCGCGAAAGAACTGCTTTGAGAAGCCGAGCCGTTTGCCCTGGAGACATCCGATACTCCTATACAGCAGACGCACTGTGTGCCTTGTCCCAGTCCAAGAGAAACTCACTCACCCGCGCTGGCCGTAGGAGTCTCCTCGTTCCTGCTGTACCGTACATGCACTGTCGTGGTTCCTTTCCTGCTTAGGAAGGCATCACGGATGCACAGATGCGCCCAAGATTGCCGCTCTCGATTACACTCTGCGCTGTACGAGGAAGCAACGCTGGAACTGAGGCAAAGAAAACGTCGAGGGAGTGGTCAGTTCTGCAAGACGAAGAAGGTTATCTCCTCTGGTCATCTCGTGGCGGCCAAACTCCACTCGGATGCTGACCGTAGCTCGTCGTGTTAATCGTGCTGCTTAAAGAAAGAAGAGGCAACTTGCTGAAGGCAGGAATGGGCTGTGGCTTGCGGAAAGCAAAATAGCCGTGTTGAGTACGATCCGGAGCCATAAAAAAAAGAAAGAAAGCAGGACGCGACTTGGTGAAGACAGGAATTCGCCGTGGGTTGGGGACGACAAACGAGCCATGTTGAGAAGAGTCCAGAGCCGTATACATGTGGTGACCACCGGTTGGGGCGGGGTCTGGTCGTCCCGAGCGTTCGTGCACCAGAGGGCGAAGGGTCAGTGTGCCCATCGAGAGATTCTGTGTGTGCGATTCCCTTGTTTGGAGCAAGCCCAGCGTGAAAAGGTGACGTGGATGTGTGGTGTTTAAGGAACCAGATCCTTGTACGAGGCTGTCTCGAAAAACAGATGTTCACCGCGTTTTTTTTTTCGACAGTCTCTGTTTGATTTTAGTGCGCATAGTACATGTATGATCATGGCGTCCAGTGCAAACATACTCGGGACCGAAAGACTGTATGTGTCACTGTTTTTATCTGGCCATCATGAATGAATTCTAACTTGGCCAATGCCGCAATATTGCAGCACGTAGGAACTGCGCTACTGAGGAACTATCTTAGAAAGCAGTTTTCGAGAAAAAAAGAATTTACAAAAACTTAGTTTTTCTTTTATGACATTGTAAAATCTTATTGTACAACCTTCTTAATCGTTAGTCGACGGCTTTTCCGAACCCTGTTTCCTTGGGAACAGGTAAGCACATGACGTGTTGGAAGCTACGGATGCGAAGCGTGTAACTAAATATCAGAGCGCACAATTGATTCTTAATCAAGAAGCAACTGCCCGTACCGATCAGCACGGCAACTCCTTCAAGAAAAGAAATATCTGAATGTTACACGTATTGCGAAGCTAAGTAATCGCTGTTTCCTGCGTCCTTGTGATCCTTTATTGAAAACCGCATAAACAAGGGGCGAACTGATAATGCGTACACAGGCTGACTGCCAGTGTCAGACGACTTTGTGTCTTGTATATCACTTCTTATCTGCTCCTCTACCTAGTAGATGCGCTGGTATACGAATGACCACGAATAACCGGCTATAGCTCGAATAACAGCCCTTATCTCATCGTGTTGTCTTTTATCGCTGCCAAGTGAGTGTGTAAGAACTCTATTTTAAAGCCTATAGGTAGTTCGGTGGGTGACATAGTGGTTAGACTGCCACCGGTTCCTGCGTCCGCGCGGCCTCTTCTGTCCTCTTGATAACCTTGGCTAGTGAGCCAGTGTCAAAGCTGCGCAATACATTCTCCAGCTGCTCATAGTATGTTTTTTATCTCGTGATTTTTATATTTCATTGCTGCGCACTACTAATAAATTATCAAGAATGCGCACGTCAGCTTGCCTTCCGTTGAATTCTGCGCACTGCACTTTCACATGTTTTTTTTTTTTCCTTGCGTTGACACTTACGTGCTGCCTTTTTTGTTTTTTTTCTGGCGCAGTTGAACCGGAGCACTTGCTGCAGCAACAAGATTTTCTGACGTGTGGCGTCTGCCAGAAGGAGTTCGCGCTCTCGGACATTGTGCGGTTCATCCAGCACAAGGTACACTCGTGCAACAAGGAAAATTGCCTCCTATTCGACGGGTCGCCCGGTGAGGACGACTTCGACGCCGACCGTCCGGACCTGCCCGTGGGCTCGGCCGCGGCCTCGGCCAACAGCAACGCCGTCGGCGTCACCGGCAACAACACACCAAGCTCGAGACGATGTCCCGGTTCTCAAGTCTCGGCGCTGTCCTCGCTCAAGAGGTCGCACCACCACGGCACCAGCGGTGGCTCCTCGGTGACGGCTTCGTCCACGTCCTCTCACCACCACCATCATCACCGGCTGTCGCACAACAACGTCAGTTCGGTGACGAACAACAGCAACAGCAACCACAGCCTGGACCTCGCCGACCGCCTCAAAGCGAGGGTATCGTTGGAACCTCACTTGCACAAGTACGGGTCTTCGACGACAACTGGTGGCGGTGCCTTCGGCGCGGCGGCGTCCAGGACCGGGAGCGGTGGAGGTCTGCTAGTCAACGACAGCAATGGAGGCGGAGGAGGCGTCGCGTCTCCGACGTCTCCCGCCGAGGGCCATGCGGTCGTGTCCGGTGTAGGACCCGGAGCTGGAGTTCCGTTGGTCAAGTCGCCCCCGGCGTCCTCGGTGTCGCCCGTTAGAAGGCCTGCCTCTACGGTCGACGTCGGCGTCAACACCACCTACACCGGTGAGTCTTGGCATGGTCTTTTCTTTGTTCTTCTAAACTGCCGTGAAATTCATCCCGGACTACATTGCCAAGCCCGTCACTTATAATGGTTGGTACATAACCATTGCGATTGCGTTCCCTGGTTCACTATATGGACCGAAGGGTGCATACATTAAAGTTGACTACCTACGCGCAATGAGACAAAGAATATTTACAATCTTGCGAAGGCCGTATGATTTCAGGCAGACGCTATCGTGTTTTCCGTTGACCCGACCTGCATTCTTCGATTAATTGTTTCGCTGACGCCAGAGATGACGGAGATACAGTGAGGAGAACAACAAAAAAGTGAAAATTGTCAGGCGCCCGCGCAGTCCGATTTCATCGATTGCGCCAGATTTCCACTTGATGACGACATATTAGGTATAGCGCGGCGGAAGAATTCCGTCTCGGATACGCTGTGACTTTCGTAAGGCTTTATATCTATTTCGTTCTATTTCGCTTTTTTTTATTTTCGCCCGCGATGTTTTTCCCTTCACTTCAGCGCGTGTGCGGTGATATCGCTTCTTCGCCGCTGTTCCCCAACTTGTGGCCTCAACTCTCAAATAACTATAACAAAGCAAGCAAACTACTCGCTTCTCGTATCACAGGCCACGCTTCCTAATCTGCATATGCATGCACAGAACAGCTTGATATACGGCAACCAGTAGCAACAAAGAGATGCTTTGGAAAGACATTACCGCCCGATGACCCTTGAAGGTATAGTGCGCTATGCTTTAGGTACGTACGTGTCGGTTAAGGTCTAGTTAAAACGCGTATCTTTTCAATTTTTGACTGTTTTTTACGGATCGTGCGAAGAAGGGGTGATAACCGTCTGCTACACACTCGGTGAAGGTAGCGAATAGATTAAGAAAAAAAAAAGTACAATCGAGCGACAGAAAAGGGGCGTATCAGTCGATATGACAAAAGAAAAACAATATATCGAAGTCCATACGCAACTTGCCGGGCGAAGGGAAGATACGATCATGTTTTGGGGGGAGGGGAAGTGCATCAGACTCGCTGCGGTGACCTACTATACTTGAGATGTGCCGAAGAAGAAAAAGAAGAATGGTTCGAAAAGAGATATGAGGAGCTAGCGAGTCCTTCGCAATAGCTAAAGGGCGTTGCTTTTAGGAGGCAAGGTGACGCGACCGGTGTGTGTGTGTCGGCGGTGTTTTTTTTTAATTGGTTGGCTTGCCTATAGCACGTATGGGGCATGTCATCACGATGTACGGGTTGATTGAGTACGCTCGTTAGTGCGTTTGCGTGTAGGTGTTCCTGGAGAGGACACTGTTCATGGTGCAAAATGATGGTGAACAGCAAAAAGACTGCATTCGTGGATAACCCGATCGCCAGATTGAGATGGATTGAGGTGATTGGGTGCCTTCCGATTCCAGACTACGTCGCAGATGGTGTGTACATTTGACAGCTTGGAACACAGCATTGTGGTCGATTAGCCCGAGTAATGGAACACGTCTGGATGACGTCTGCGTGACCTGACGCCTTCTGGCGTCGACAACCGAATACATACGAAAAAAAAGGAAATTTGTTATTTCTTTAGGTTTTTTGTTCTAATACAACAACGAGTGCAATCGGCTGAGTATGTTAAGGTAATGTAATGGATGTGTGCCACACTGTGGTCCATTGTGTCGTGCAAGAACTACATGTTGTCCCAGATCCTCACCATGATCATCATCATCAACATCATCGTTCTTAGCTTTTTTTTTACTCCGCAAACGCTTGTCAATTATCTTCAGTTTACCCTGTCCTGTGCGAAGTGATTCTATTTCACCCTGGCAAAGTTGGTAATTCCGTATCTGATTACGTTTAAGGTAATTTGGGGGCCTGTTTTCCCCCACACCGTTTCCCATCCACTGGTAACCATTCGGCCCTTACCGTATCAACTGTTGTGTAAACCTATTAAGTGACCAACCCAAGTCCATTTCTTTCTCTTGATGTTGACTATAAATATGATGCAGCCACTGTTTGTTCCCTGACCCATTCTGACGCCATGCGATCTCTTAATGTTACTCCTATCATTTTACCTTCCACTGCACGCTGCATCGTCACCAACTTATTCTTCAGTTACTGCGTCATCCTCAATGCATTAAGCACCATATGTTAGGACTGGCAGTGTATACAGTGATCCTATGATTTTCGCTCTCGGATGCTATAGCTAATAAAGCTTTACCAAGTGTGGAGCAGGTGGTCGCTTTTAAAGTGTTACAGGTAGTGCAGCATGCTACTCAACCTTTTCGATCTGTCAGTTGTCGAAAACACAACGATGATACAGCAAGACTGTGTATGTGTACAGTGAGTTACGCAAAAAGATTAGTATGAGTGGCAGTAGGCCTGAGTGGTCACTCGTATACTAAAGTTTTTTTGTTTTTTTTCCAGGAGATCGTATACGTTAACGTGACAAGAACGCACTGTTTCATATGTCGTGTATGTCAGCTGTCATCACCATTCTGTCGTGTCCATCGTCATCGTAATCGATTCGTCAACATTTGTGACATCTCACACCATGACCTATAGCGATCTTTAGCCAGGCTTCCCTTGCGCCATAAAACGTCGTTATATTGTCATGGTGCCCCTGTCATCGCACCTTGTAAGATTGAGCGCACTGATTTTTTTTTTGATTCGCTACCGTCTCTCGCTATAGCGGATGCTAAGAACACTTCCTTCGTTTTTATCGCCTCCCCCGTCGTCCGAGAACAAAGAGGTCCAAGGCCTTGTCACTATATCGCCGTCTTCGCTTCATTCAAATCGCCGTTCCGAATCGCTCCACTTCTCTCGGGAGCGCGCGTGTGTTGCGTGGCTGGAATCGCATGGCCGTTTAACCTCGGCAAGCTATCTGTCGGAACGGGCGACATCGAAGACGTCCTCCGGCGCGGTCCTCTCGTGGTCTATAGACTCGTAGTCTATGTTCTTTGGCTCCCAATACTAGATCGTATACGTGCCACGCTCACCAACGCAGGCGAGTCCCTGCGCCTGTTCTGTATACCGCACCCCACAGATGTGCTATAGAAATTTACCACACCTATATGCAATCAGCTCTCGCTGTTGTCTGCGCGCTGTATACTGAGCGGTGTTCACTTGTGTGTGTGTGTGTCTGAGATTAGGTACCTAATTTTCTCATATGACTCTCCGCTTCACGACGCTAGGGTTTGGGAGACAGCTCGGCAAGCTCTGCGTTTATCGCACTGTATGCAAAACAGGAGAGATGGTGGGGGGCTACGGAATGGGGCGCGGGCGGGAGAGCAAGAACAAACCAGGGACGTAGTCTGCATTCTTGTGCGCGCTGATTTTATGTATGTATATATATATATATATATATATATATATATATGGAGGAAATACAATAGCGCAGCAGGTGCACAGTTCTGATAGGCACCCATATACCTTGGCTTAATTGGGTTGCCTGGGCTTCTACCCTCTCACTTCCCTCTTTCACACCCACTGGTGTTCTATCCTATCCATGACTATGCTTGCTTCTGCCAAGAAAGATTTTCGTTCGTGCGCGTATATCGTGTTCGTATAAAGTGCAAAGTTGACTGTAGTCGTTTTTTAAATGTATTGCGTGATCGTTTGAAGTGATGAGCATTAGTATCTTTACATAGTGATATGTCCTCAATGATGTCTGGCAGAATTGTAGATAAATTATATAACGAATAGGAAACAATAACGAAAAAAAGCAGTAGACAAAGATTTCAATGTTTAGTGACATTGAAGTGAGACTTTATTGATGGATGAAATGAAAGTGGATGAAATAACGTGGTAGAGTGATGGATACGAAAACCTATGCAAGCTCAACAATGCTGAGATTATCGCGGCCGTATATATAACACGAAAACGTGGGTACGTATATACATTTACGGCCTGTAGTTTCTTCCTCCACCTATTTCTTTTCCTAATGAGGTACTTATGTTTAATTACGTACGATTAGTCACTTTTCCTTTTAAGCCTGATGCTTATCGTTGCAGCTGCTTCTTAACTATGAGGCAGTCTCTTGTCTCTCCGAGGGCGACATATAACACGAGACACAACAACAAGAAAGTTAATTTGAAAGCCACGAGCTGCAGGTGATACGATCGGTGATCGATGAAAATACGATGACGTGATGATGGGTATGGTATACTATAGTCTGGAATGTCCAGCACTCCAAGGATATCGGAAACACTCGCTCACATTTCTACTCGAAACAGCCCACATTACGTGTCTTTGTTTTTTTTTTTTTGAAATTGTCTTTTACATTGTGCTATTTAGCTGTTCGCATTATTCTTCTACTACTTTTTCCTTTCTCGTTTTTTGTATTTTATTTGGCACGCACTTAAAGACCCGGTATTCCAACGTCGCCGTGATTCTAATCGCCGCAGGTAATCTCCGCTTTGTGCACCCGTGACCGCTCATTAGTATGGCAGTCGCGCGCTTACTCTCCTACATAGTTCGGCGCCAATCCGCATTGACACGATTTCTCTGTTAGATTTTTTCCCTTTTTCTTGTTTTTCGTTCTGTTACCTTTTGATGGCCGGCCGATGACCGCAAGAGAGATTTTGAACTTCCTGTTTTGTAGATCCCTTCAATTTTTCTTGCTCTCACTCACTCACTCAATTTATGGTTTTTTCTTCATTTGTTTCCAGGATCGTCACACTATCAGGCTAATCTGACTCCCCCGGAATCTCCTTTTTAAATGCGCTTCGCCTCGATGCAGTTTAACGGGGAATCCATTAACAGACAGTTACGAACACTGTATTTGTGCACTGTTCCTTAACATAAAGAAATTAAGTGGATTGAGAGTATATATATATATATATATATATATATATATATATATATATATATATATATATATATATATATATATATATATATATATATATATATATATATATATATCGAACTCAGCAGGCGTACATGTAAACGAGCTAGAACTTTCCATTAGTCAATGATTATTACTTTAAAAGGGGCATGGACAGAGACATTCC